TTCCTTCCTTCCTTCCTTCCTTCCTTCCTTCCTTCCTTCCTTTCTCCCTCCCTCCCTCCCTCCCTCCCTCTCTCTCTCTCTCTCTCTCTTTATGCCTCTCTCTCTCTGTGTGTCTATCTCTCTCTTTATCTATCTTCTGGAGGCAGGGGAGGTGAAAATGGGCCATGTTCACCAGTTTTTTTGGCCTCCTGGGGCATCTGTGTGCCCGATTTTTCATACCCCACCCCACCTCTAGAAGCATTCTGCAGGCCAAAAACAGGCAAACACAGCCTGATTTTTTTGCCAAAACAGCTCATTTTTTGGCCAAAAAGGGTTTGTTTGTTTTTTGACTTCTGGGGCTTCTGTGCACCCCGTTTGTCACCTCCCCTGTTTCCAGAAAGTCTCTGCAGGCTAAAATTGTTGGCCTTACCTTTCAGTTCCAGCCTGCAGAGCTCGCAAAGGAAAGTCCTGTGCTCGGCCGAAGGGTGAGCAGGGCGATGTGGGTGGGGCCTTGTGATCCTGCATGGGCCGGATTAGTGGCTTTGGTGGGCCGCATGTGGCCTGCGGGCCGTAGTTTTAGGACCCACGTCATATACCATTTCAGACAAATAGGTGTCCAATTTCTTCTTAAACACCTCCTCTCCACTAACAGCAACTGTGGATTGACAAAATGCAAATGAATTGGCCACTTCGTATTATGAGCACTTAACAAATCCTCCTAATTCTTGCCAATTATTGGACTGTTAAATAGTGTCACCTCCTATCCAAGTCAGCTCACTCAGCCTTTCAAGGGTCACCATTTACATTTTGGCAGCTGCCCCTGCATTGCCTCGCCCACCCCCAACAATCTCTTGCATTGTGACTATTTCCACACTTTGGTGGGCCACTTTTTGGAGTATGTATTTCTCTGCTTATTCCGAACAATTTTAATAACTTCTCTTTATTAAATTCCTTTAGTAAAGATTTCATTTTTATCTCCTCACATGGTTTTCTCTTGCTTCCATTTACATTTTGCTTAATGAACTATTTGATCATACTGAAATTCTGCTTTGAGCTCCACTAACCAATTTTCCATATTAATATCAAAGCCCATAGTTTGCAACACCAACTTTCTCCTGTCTAACCTCTAACATTGAAAGATTCCTTTAATCATAAAGAGTCTCAAAGTGATGAATCAGAAGGATTACCTTCTTGTATTGTAGGGGTGTCAAACTCATGGCGCGCAGGCTGGATCCAGCCCACGATGAGGTTGAATCTGGCCTGCGTGGCCATCCTGGAAATGGTAAGGGGCTGGCCCGTGTTGCTTCAGCCTAGCCCACCCCATCATGGCGGGTGTGCATGTGCGCAGGACGCAGCGAGCACATGTGTGCACAGGCCCGGCCCAAGCCATATCAGCAGACGCATGTGCATACAGGAGGAGGTCGGTGCATGCACCAGGATAGCATGGGCCAGGCCAAAGCGATACAGGCTGCTCCTTTACTTTTTCCAGGATGGACACACTTACTAGCCTTTCAGGGATGTGTGTGCAATGAGGAGCTCCGCATCTGGTGCTCCAAGAAGCAGGCATGGTAGAGACGGCGGCACCGACAGCAAGCAGAATCAGGAGAGGCACATGATGTGCACTACCGGACATGGCAGGTGGCTGTCCAACGTATCCAGCAGGCTAGACCGCTTGCCTCTCCCCTGTGCCTCTGCCTCCAGCTCCCGCCACTGCCATGGCCCAAGATAAGATGAGGAGGGTGTGGGGCAGCTGCTTGGAGACACCATCGGCCCACCAATTCTGACCCATCTCACTTGATGCACGTTGCACATGCATGCGCAATGCAATAAAAATTGCTCTATGCATGCGCAGGAGCAATAAACAAGATGCCCCTATGGCAACACCTGGAAAACTGTTTTGGGGCATGGAAGGCCTGGGCCACTGTTGGTTTCAGCAACCCAGGCCGCCAAACCACTACTAGTTTGGCCAAACTGGTAGGAACTCACCACTGCTGCAAATGCTCTGACCAATCACCTGTCCAGGGAGGAGACCAGGGCGCTGCTTCTTCTTCCTCCAAAACCTCAGCCAGCCCTTTTCTGGCAAGGAAGGAGATTTAGAGTAAGGTGACCAGATTTTCAGATTGGTAAAGAGGGACACCATTGACCNTATTTAAATGCTTGTCCACTAGGACTCCAAGATCCCTCTCCCAGTATAAATGAGCCTCCCCAGTTTCTCATCTTAGTTCAGAAGGATTTGTCCCACCCAGACAGCAAGTTCCTGAACACAAAAACCAGAGAACCAGGCCGGCAGCTTAAGTGCCACGCTTCCTTTCTCTCCTTCCAATGAGGAGAAAAACAGGTAGATTTATTCGGCGAGCTTGGCGCACTTTTAACAATAGGCGTTCCTCTGCCAATAGTCCAAAAGTCACTTCTCAAAGGTTAATTTCTCTCTCTCTCATGCCAGCAGCAAGCAGCAAAACTTCGTGGAAACATACACAGGTAGTCCTTGACTTACAACAGTTTGCTTAGTGGCCATTCGAACTCACAGCAGCATTGGGAAAAGTGACGTACGACCGTTTTTCACACGACCCCTGCAGCATCCCCTGTAGTCACGTGATTTGCATTTGGATGCTTGTCAACTGACTCACATTTACGACGGTTGCAGGGTCCACGGGTCGTGTGATCCCCTTTTGCGACCTTCAAGGGGGAAGCCAGATTCACTTAATGACCTGTGGCAAGGTAAGCCGCAAAACGGGACAAAGCTCGCTTCCCAAATCTCCCAGCGACATACATTTGGGGCTGAATTTGTGGTCTTAAGTTGAGGACTACCTGTACGGTGGGATTTGGCCATGGTTGACAAGCGTTTTGCGTGTTGTGGGGGTGGTGGTGGGCTGGATCTCGGAGCCTCCTTTATTGCTTGATCCCGGCTTTGTAATCTGGAGATTCGGAGAGGCAACATCCTGGCTTGTCGTCCGCCTTCCGGTAATACATCCTGGCCAGCACCGCAAGGACGAATATTTCCAGGATCAGCAGCTGGGCGTGCATTTCTTGAGCCAAAGATTGAAAAAAAATCAGGATTAGCATTGAAGGCAGCCGCCTCTTAGTCCTTTGAAAGCAGCCCTCTGCGTGACGCTTCCTTCCAGAGATTTCTAGGACTACATTTCCCAGTGGCTGTGCTGGCTGGGAACTGTAGTTGCTGCATACACGGAAGGCGCATTTGACTTGGGTAGCTGCTGGAGTTTGCTGGCCACGATAGGTAGTAGTCCTCAACTTACGGCCAGAAATTTCCNAAGAAGGGAGAGGAGGAAGAAGAAGAGGAGAAGGGGGAGGAGGACTGTGGGGTCCTTGGTGCTCTCTGAGCTTGGCGGTTTCCTTGCAGATGTTTCATGAGCCAAATAGATAACGGAGTCAGTGCTAGAAGGGAGAAGGGTTCAGGAGGAGGAAGAGGAAGAAGAGGAGGAGGAAGAGGACTGTGGGGTCCTTGGTGCTCTCTGAGCTTGGGGGTTTCATGACCCAACTAGGGAACATCATCAGTGATACAAGGAAGTGGGGTGAGAGGAGGAGGAAGAGGGGGACTCTGGGGTCCTTGGTGCTCTCTGAGCTGGGTGTCTCATGACCCAGCTAGGTAACATCATCAATGCTGGGGGTGGGGTTGTTCTCCCAATGAGGCCGAGAGGGAAGAGGAGGAAGGGGAGGAGGATTGGGGGGTCCTTGGTGCTCTCTGAGCTTGGTTGTTTTCTTGCAGGCATTTCACAACCCAACTAGGGAACACCATCAGTGCTAGAAGAGAAATGTGTTTGCACAGAGGAGAACGAGGGGGAGGAGGAGGAAGGGGGAGGAGGAGGAAGATGAGGAGGACTGTGGGGTCCTTGGTGCTCTCTGAGCTTGGTTTTTGCAGACGTCTCATGACCCAGCTAGGTAACATCATCAATGCTGGGGGGGGCGGTTTGTTCTCTGTTGATATTTGCGTGGTTTTCCCCGTCTGTGTCGGTGGGAACCTGGTTGGGGATTCCTTTCGGCGTTTCCCCCCCCGTGACATTCCCTGCAAAGCTTCGGCCGTGGGCCTCGCGGGGGGGGTGGTGTTTCTGACCGCCTCTTCCTCCCCTCCTTTGGCCGCCCTAGGAATGTTTGCCCCCACGCAGAGGACCGAAGGCATTTCCACCTCGGATATCATCACCCGCATCGTCCGGGACTACGACGTCTACGCCCGGCGGAATCTGCAGCGGGGTTACACGGCCAAGGAGCTCAACGTCAGCTTCATCAACGTGAGTTGGGCGGGCGTTCCGGGTGGTCATCTCATTCCCTCACACCGATGGCCGGAGGGAGGTTCACGACCCCCCCCCCTCGGTTTGGGGGGGAAGAAGGAAGGAAACGGAAGGGATTCCGAAGGGATCCTGGAAGTCTTGGAGAGAGAAATGGGGTTTTGTTGCATTGCGTTGCCTTTTTTGCAAGAGGCAACTGGACTTCCTAGTTTTTTTCTTTCTTTCGAAGACGTCTCGCTTCTAATCCGAGAAGCTTCTTCAGTTCTGGTGCCCGGATGGTGGGGAAGGGAAGGGTTGATGTTCCTTTGCAGACAGCTGGTGAATTTGCCTCCTTTGAGAAGGTCCTTGTGGCCACCTGGAGGTTCATCTGTGTCCTCAGGATTACCTGCAAGGGAGGGAGGGAAGGAAGGAAGGAAGGAGAGAAGGGAAAAAGGAAGGAAGGAGATGGGAAGGAGAAGAAGGGAAGGAGAGAGGAAGGGGGAGGAAGGAAGCAGATGGGAAGGAGAGAGGGAAGGAAGGAGATGGGAAGGAGAAGAAGGGAAGGGGGAGGAAGGAAGCAGATGGGAAGGAGAGAGGGAAGGAAGGAGATGGGAAGGAGAAGAAGGGAAGGGGGAGGAAGGAAGCAGATGGGAAGGAGAGAGGGAAGGAAGGAAAAAAGGAAGGAAAGAGATGGGAAGGAGAGAGGAAGGGGGAGGAAGAAAGCAGATGGGAAGGAGAGAGGGAAGGAAGGAGATGGGAAGGAGAGAGGAAGGGGGAGGAAGGAAGCAGATGGGAAGGAGAGAGGGAAGGAATGAAAAAAGGAAGGAAAGATGGGAAGGAGAGAGGAAGGGGGAGGAAGGAAGCAGATGGGAAGGAGAGAGGGAAGGAATGAAAAAAGGAAGGA